TCCCTGCTCTCCCATTCAACAAAAAAAACTGGCCAATCAGATTGCATCTCACTTCTCGTAACCACCCTTCGCAACCCAAACAGCACTCAAAACATTACCCCCGTCAACCTTAGTAAGCTTGGCCAGCGCGCCCCGCAATTTGGGCCGCGAGCTTTAAGCACAGTTGCAACTGCCTTTCGCGAGTCAAGCTTTAAGGGAAAATATGTCATTCGTAACCATCATGGGACTCGGTAACATTTTTGGAAAAAAGAATAAAGGGTACGGTCACTGCTGTCAGAATGTTTTAATTGTCTAGCCTGCAGTGGGGTACTCTATAGCGAGTACGACCCAATTAGGGTTTCCTATATGTATGCCAACTGCTGTTAGTGCAACCCCTCTCTTCTTCATTCCTCGTTATCTCACAACTGCGAAGGGTGTTTTCACGCGACTGAAAAAACGTTTCACGGAATCAATCACTATCAACTGGTAGAAAAAGCTGCGAATGGTCACAGATGAAACTCTCGACCAAAAAAGAATAATACCCAAAACGAGCCTAGATGCATTTTCGGATGAATCAACCCTAAACACAATTCGCCAGGTGTCTAGGGTTGATCCGTTCCCAAAACGCATCCGATTCCGATTGGGGCCAACATCACTGGCTGACGTTTCATTTTAAGCCTCCCTGATTCCCGGGAAAATTTCCCCCCTGTATTATGGGTGCATATTTTCCACAGGTAGGCTACTCTGATTGCTCAGTGTTGAAAAGTAGTTAACTCTTATTGCTCAGGGTCGAGAACTGAACATTAATGTAGTAATGGACACTGTATTTAACGGGGACAAAAGTTTCACCCCGCAGGATTCCATCACAACGCGACATCATTTCGTGCACACCTCGTGCGCCTTACGTTTTGACCCGTTACTTTTACGAAATTTATATTTCTCCACACGTTTTAGCGCGGGGAAGAAACAAGCAATTTCGGTCCACCAAACAGTTCGGTAGCATAGATGTGCCAAGATTTCCTATTCGCTGATTACCCGCGATTCGCCAACTTCATTGTGCGAAACGCAAAAAATGTGTTGATAACTTCACGCACACGTAATTGCGACAATACGACTGACATCTTTAAATTCTGTGACACTAACATACGTAGAGTGTCTTTGCCTGTCAGACATGTTGCCGCGCGGTGCTCACGCTCTTGCTGTACTACGACCAATCCGAAGGCGGGGTTATCGGAAGGAAACTTCTCGAAAATTTCCTTCCGATAAGGTCAAATTCAGAGTCCACAGAACGTGTACTCTACATTGACAGAGTCAGTAAGAACACTACTCTGAGCTTAGATACAATATTCCAGGGCTCGCTAAAGCACTATTCTGAATAGATCAGTGTTCACAAGTCAGAAATTTTGAAATTTCAGGGACCACCTTGTGAGAAGCCTGTAATCACCTTGAAATCAGAGTAACTACCCTGATAAAATCAGCCCTGCATGCAACATAGTATGCTAACCCTATGCAATTGTATGCAAAACCGTCGATACCTTGGTTTTGGAGGTATTGACATATTGCGCTAGTATCTAGGTTTTTTTATCGAAATCACCGATTTCTACCATGCTTATCTTTCCACTAAACTTCAGATGAGCAACACTGTTCACTTCTTTTGACAGAAAAAAATATACCCAATCGGAAAGGGATGCACTCGGGGAGGCATCAACCCTAAAAACAATGCCCTTTTCCGTTTTTAGGGTTGATCCTTCCCTGAAATGAGTCCAGGTCCCCAAGGGTTCTATTTTTTATTCTTGCTTGTTACGATATGAAGTTTTATGAGTAAGGCATTCATGTATGCTGCAGGAGCCGACTCTACCGAGTACGAAGTCGAGGAGTCAGAAGAGTCGAAGCGACGCAGCAACCGTCTGACCAAGACCGATGCAGGCAGAAACACTTGAAATGAAAAGAGCGGGAACAGGTTCAAAACGGGGTTCCCGCGCCGCACGGTTTGAATTTGCTGTAATAAGGGAATGTACCCCTTAGAGTACATGGCTAGTCTAGGTCTTTTCGTATTCCCCTGTACTCTTTTATATACTCGATGTATGCATGCTTTTATCAACTCAGTCATTTACATTCACTCTGACCTGAGATTCAAATCTTCCGCTGCAACACTACTCTGCGATCAACCCTGAGCGATCCTTCACTAAGTCCCACTTGGGATTGTAACATGGTATGAGAGCTACTCAGGGATTCTTCGCAACCTCACTTCCATGAAATTCGCCGAACCAAGATCTGATGAGCGGCACACGCTCCAAGATCAAGATGGCCGGAGGATCCGAAGGCCAAGCAAATCTGACGGCTGAAGCACGATCCAACCCGGCTGCGACAAATGAGGCGACAACTACGATCGGCACTGCCGCTCTCGAGCAACTTTTCGCTCGACTTTCAACTATGGAGAAAGAACTCCAAGACCTGCGCAAAGGCGATGCGGGAACCTCTTCCCAACCAGGACAACCTGGACAACCGGCTGAGAAAAGCCGTGATACCGCCGCGCACACCTTCTCCCTCGACACAGACAAATCAACAACTGCCCCCCGTCCAAGTGATGAAGCTATCAACTCTGCGCAAACACGCTTCCTTAGCGTCTCAAAAATCAAGACTACGGCCGCGTTCGACGGCAAGGACTTTTACACATGGAGTTTCGAGCTTGAGCTCCTCCTACAAACGGCGCAGATCTACCATTACTTCGAGGGCTCCTATTCTAAACCGGTGGAAAACACCGACGTCGCCAGGGCTCAGTACTACAGCGAGTCCCTCATGGCCTACAGTGTGCTGCTACGAAACATGACGCCGGCGGAACAACTCAACATTCGCTCCTACAAAGAGAGCGACGCTCCAGCCATGGAAGCTTGGAAGCACCTCGTTGAGGTTTATCAGCCGAAGGACTCGGTCACCGCCAGCAGGCTTCTGCAGCAACTCCTGGAGATAAAAATGGGGCACGGGGAGAAGGCGAATCCATACATTAACCGCTGTCGCAACATTCGTGATCAGATCACGAAGCATGGGAGTACGATCTCAGAAGAGATCTTCGTTAATATAGTCCTTCAAGGACTCGGGCCAGAGTGGAAGCCCTGTAAAGCGCTACTCCAACAGCGAGGAATCATCTCCGAAGCTGCGCTATGCGCCGCGGACAACCGAGAAGAGCGACGACAACCAAGGCGCCACTATTGCAAAATATGCAAAGTCTTCGGACACTCAACGGATCGATGCAAATCCCGATCCAACTTCCGCCACCCAAATTCCACTCACCATAACAACTGGGTCGGCCGATAAGACGCTCGTCACTCTCAATCTCAGCATCAACAAGCTCGTTCCCCTGCACAACATCAACACCAGCAAACTCAAGGACCTCAGTCAGGAGCTCCCAGGAACATCATCGCGAACATGACGACACGTCGCCGCCGCGCTGCTGAGCCTGACGAAGAGAACGAAGTCCAAGGAAGACTTCTGGAACAAGAAGAGGGATGGAACAATCCCCTCACTGAAGATCACTATTACCTGTACGACGAGGACGAGCACGATTGGAATCAACCAATCACATTGCGGGAAAGCCCGCCACACAACAATCAACACTACGTACCAGTGGGTTGGAAGGAGGACGAAGACCCTTCCTTTCACAGGTGCTACAAGGCCACTTTGGTGACTCCGCGATTGGCGCTACTCCTGCGCCGAAACAACACCGACAACTATAACACCTAGTACCTGGACAGCTACTGCGGACAGCACATGGTGGGATCCACGCGATACGTTTCTAACCTAAGTCGCGCTCCCGCAACCTACATCACCGTCGCCAACAACGAGCAGTTGCGCGCCAACTCACCAGTGTCAAACTCATATGCTATAGTCTGTGTAGGCTGTAGTGGGGTAGACAATATGGGGTACAACATTTCTAGGTTTTCCTACTTGTACCCACCTGCTTGCTAGTTCATTCATTCCTCATTCTTCACATGGTATAGAGCAGGTTCCCTCGTGGGAACACTTCTCAGGGCCCACCAACTAACTCGATCCTTTTTACCTGCCCGAGGCGTGCCCCGTAGGCAACCCTCACGTCGCGCCCTCCTAGAGGCCCCTCGCGCCACCCTTAGCGGCCCCATCGCCGTCCTTAGCGACCATGTCGCCGCCCCTCTAGGCCCCTCGTGGCCCCTTCACGGCCCCGTCGCCGCCGCTCTAGGCCGCGTCGCCGCCACTCTAGCCCCTCGCGGCCCCTTCACGGCCCCGTCGACGCCGCTCTAGGCCCCTTGCGACCCCTTCACGGCCCCGTCGCCGCCGCTCTAGGCCCCGTCGCCGCCGCTCTAGGCCCCGTCGCCGCCCCTATAGGCCCCTCGCGGCCCCTTCACGGCCCCGTCGCAGCCCCTAGCGGCCCCGTCGCCCCCCCTCTAGGCCCCTCACGGCCCCTTCGCGGCCCCGTCGCCACCACTTGCGGCCCCGTCGCCGCCCCCTCTAGGCCCCTTACGGCCCCTTCGCGGCCTCGTCGCCGCCCCTCTAGGCCCCTTGCGGCCCCTCTGCGGCCCTGTCGCCGCCCCTAGCGGCCCCGTCGCCGCCCCTTCGCGACCACCTCGCCGCCCTTAGCGGCCCCATCGCCGCCCCTAGTGGCCCCATCGCCGCCTCTACCGGCCCCGTCGTCGCCTCTACCGGCCCCTTCACCGCTGAACCACCCAGCAGCCGAGCCGACCAGCAGCCGAGCCGCCCAACAGCCGAGCCGCCGAGCCGCCGAGCCGCCCAGCAGCCGAGCCGCCGAGCCACCGAGCCGCCCAGCAACCGAGCCGCCGACCCGCCCAGCAGCCGAGCCGCCCAACAGCCGAGCCGCGAAGCCGCCCAGCAGCCGAGCCGCCGAGCCGCCCAGCAACGGAGCCGCCGAGCCGCCCAGCAGCCGAGCCGCCAAGCCGCCCTACCGTCGAGCCCCTACTGCTCCTACCTAGCGCGCCCCGGCCCTACTTACTCGGACTGGTGAGATTACTCCCTACTAGGCCACTGCAGTCATGGCTACCCCCAGTGTCCTTACCTTTGATGCTGAGGGTCGTGCTGTTGACTTTGAGGTCTGGGTCGATGACCTCCAGCTGTTCCTACTAGTGCGATAGGGCAGACAGACTCTCTCTGTTCGATCTCACCTCTGGTGTCTCTCCTACCCCGCCTGCTACTGCTGACAGCACTGTTCGCTCATAGTGGGCCACACGCGATGCTGCTGCTCGCCTTGCTGTGCGTCACCACTTACCGACCACTGAGCGTGCGCACTTTAGCCAGTACAAGAGTGCTCAGACCTTGTACGACGCTGTAGTTGCACGCTACTCTTCCCCTGCCACTGCTGCACTGAGCCGCCTCATGCTACCGTACCTCTTCCCTGACCTTGCTGCCTTTCCTACAGTCGCTGACCTCATTACGCACCTCCGCACTAGTGACACTCGCTACCGCGCTGCGCTTCCTGCTGAGTTCTGCGCCAAGAACCCCCCCCCCATGTACATCACCCTCTACTACATAGTCACCCGGCTCCCTGACTCCCTTCGCTTAGTCAGGGACCACTTCCTCTCAGTTTGCCCCACCACTTTGAGAGTACGACGGCTTATGCCAGCCTATGCTTGCTTGCCTCTACTTTATCATGCTATTTCTAGCATAGGATAATCATATGCATGCATGAATTGCCTGATTTCCTAGGCTAGGTGCTTTCCTATATTATATTATAGTTATAGCACCGAGCTAGGTTGCGTGCACCGAATTCTGGCTTTTCGGTTGCCACCGAATTGCCTTCTGCCGAATTCGGTAAGGATCTGTTCGGGACGCTTCGCGACCCGCGGAACCTTCGCGTAACACCTGGTTACGGGGCCTTGTGTCGAGCCTATATATAGCCTCGTGCTATACCCAGGTGGACATTCAATTCAATTCAATTTGAATCATCTTTTCTGAGCTCGATCCTAGATCCTCACAACCACACTCACCGTTGACCTCCTCGAGGAGCGCCTCCTAGCAGCAGAGAAGAGCACAGTCGCTGTAGGAGCCTCTCGTGATGACCCTCGCACCCCCATCTTTGAGGGGTGTTCCCCCTCCCCCCTCGTGCCCTCTGTTGCTTCTGCTGCTGCGGCCGACCTCGTTGGTTTCGAGTTGGTCGGCGCCGCGTCTGCCCCTAGCGAGAGACGCCGCACCGACAAGGGCAAGGGGGGCAAGGGCTTTGGAGGGGCTGGCGGGGGCGGTGGAGGTGGTGGTGGAGGCAGTGGAGGGGGTGGGGGTGGTGGTGGGAGTGGTGGCGGGGGTTAAGGTGACAGTGGCAGCAGTGGAGGCGGAGGAGGCGGCGGCGGTGGCGGATGGAGCGGAGGCGGCGGAGGTGGCGGAGGCAGCGGAGGTGGCGGAGGCTGCGGCGGCAGCGGTGGAGCTGGTCGCGGCGCTACGCAGAGGAGTGGTTCCGGTGGTGGTCTGCGCCAGCAGCAGCAGCGCGCTCGTGAGACCCCGTCCCCTCAGCAGCTTCGTGAGTGGTACGCTGGGCGTCAGCGAGGTGGGGGTACTGGTCCCTGCACCTACGTCCTCCGTACAGGCGACCGTGCTGGTGAGCAGTGCGGGGGCCCGCACTCCACCCAGCGCTGCTTCGGCCGCCTGACAGACGCGTGGCGTCACCAGTTCCCTGACGCCACTGAGATCCCTCGCTGGGACGTTCTGTCTAGGGCTGGGGTTGCTATCTTTGATCTTGATTATGATGCTATTCTTGCTGCCATGTATGTTGTGTCTACTAGTGATGAGGGTGACTGTTACCTGTGTGTTCCGCCTGACCCGGGCATTGAGGCTGCTGCTCTAGGTGCTAGTGAGGCTGCTGCTCTAGGTGCTAGTGCGTCTGCTGCCCCAGGTGCTGGTGAGTCTGCTCCTCTCAGGACCACGTCGGCTCAGGCCTTACACACCTTCACCCTTGACTCGGGTGCTTCCCGCTCCTTCTTTCGAGACCGCACCACACTTACGCCGCTTAGTCGGCCGGTTGCGGTCTCCCTAGCGCCACCTACCAGCGGCCCCGCCACCTACCCGCGGCCCCGCCACCTAACTGTGCGGCCCCGCCACCTACCTGCTGGCCCCGCCACCTACGTGCTGGCCCCGCCACCTGCGGCCCCGCCACCTACCAGCGGCCCCGCCACCTACCTGCGGCCCCGCCACCTATCCGCGGCCCCGCCACCTACCTGTGCGGCCCTGGCGCTTACCTGCGGCCCCGCCACCTACCAGCGGCCCCGCCACCTACCAGTGGCCCCGCCACCCACCTGCGGCCCCGCCACCTACCTTTGCGGCCCCGCCGCCTCCATTCAGCGGCCACGCCGCCTCCTCCCAGCGGCCCTGGACGCCGCCCTCTCAGCGGCCCCGCCGAGCCGCCCAGCAGCCGAGCCGCCCAGCAGCCGAGCCACCCAGCAGCCGAGCCGCCCAGCAGCCGAGCCGCCCAGCAGCCGAGCCGCCCAGCCGCCGAGCCGCCCAACAGCCGGGCCGCCCAGCAGCCAAGCAGCCGAGCCGCCGAGCCGCCCAGCAGCCGAGCCGCCGAGCCGCCCAGCAGCCAAGCCGCCGAGCCGCCCAGCAGCCGAGCCGCCGAGCCGCCCAGCAGCCGAGCCGCCGAGCCGCCCTGCTGCCGAGCCGCCGAGCCGCCCTGCTGCCGAGCCGCCGAGTCGCCCTGCAGCCGAGCCGCCCGAGCCGCCCTGTCCGGTAAGAGCAGTGCCTCTTTCACAGCACTGCCCCTAACCCTACTGTTTGCGCTGCTAGTCTACTGCTCTCATGGCTACCCCTAGTGTCCTCGCTTTTGACGCTGAGGGTCGGGCCATTGACTTTGACGTCTGGATAGATGACCTGCAGCTTTTCTTACAGTGCGATAGGGCAGACGGCCTCTCCCTCTTTGACCTCACTTCTGGTGCCTCTCCTGCCCCCACTGCTGTTGCTGACGCCACTGTTCGCTCACAGTGGGCCACGCGCGATGCTGCTGCACGTCTTGCTGTGCGTCGCCACGTGCCTACCTCTGAGCGTGCGCACTTTAGCCAGTACAAGAGTGCTCAGACCTTGTACGACGCTGTAGTTGCACGCTACTCCTCCCCTGCCACTGCTGCACTGAGCCGCCTCATCCTACAGTACCTCTTCCCTGACCTTGCTGCCTTTCCCACAGTCGCTGACCTCATTACGCACCTCCGCACTAGTGACACTCGCTACCGCGCTGCGCTTCCTGCTGAGTTCTGCGCCAAGAACCCCCCCCCCCCCCCATGTACATCACCCTCTACTACATAGTCACCCGTCTCCCTGACTCCCTTCGCTCGGTCAGGGACCACTTCCTCTCAGTTTGCCCCACCACTCTCACCGTTGACCTCCTCGAGAAGGCCCTCCTAGCAGCAGAAAAGAGCATAGTAGCTGTAGGAGCCTCTCGTGGTGACCCTCGCACCCCCATCTTTGAGGGGTGTTCCCCCTCCCCTCTTTTGCCCTCTGTAGCCTCCGCTGCTGCGGCTGACCTCGTTGGTCTGGAGTCGGTCGGTGCGGCGTCTACCCCTAGTGGGAAGCGTCGCTCTGGCAAGGGCAAGGGGGGCAGGGGCGCTGGAGGAGCTAGCGGGGGCGGTGGAGGCGGCGGTGGAGGCAGTGGAGGGGGTGGGGGTGGTGGTGGGAGTGGTGGCGGGGGTGGAGGTGTCGGCGGAAGCAGTGGAGGCGGAGGCGGCGGCGGCGGTGGCGGTGGGAGCGGAGGTGGTGGAGGTGGCGGAGGTGGAGGAGGCGGTGGCGGAGGAGGAGGAGGAGGAGGTTGTGGCTCTTCGCAAAGGAGTGGCTCCGGTGGTGGTCAGCGCCAGCAGCAGCTAGCGCAGTCGGGAGACCCTGTCCCCTCAGCAGCTCCGTGAGTGGTACGCTGCACGCCAGCGGGGTGGGGGTACTGGTCCGTGCACCTACGTCCTGCGCACCGGCGACCGTGCGGGTGAGCAGTGTGGGGGTGCGCACCCCACCCAGCGCTGCTTTGGCCGCCTGACGGAAGCTTGGCGTCACCAGTTCCCTGAGGCCACTGAGCTGTCTAGGGCAGGGGTAGCTATCTTTGACCTTGACTTCGATGCTATTCTTGCTGCTATGTATACTGTGTCTATTAGTGAGGAGGGTGACTGTTACCGGTGTTTCCCGCCCGACCCGGGCATTGAGACTGCTGCTCTAGGTGCTGGTGAGGCTGCTGCTCTTGGTGCTAGCGAGGCTGCTGCTCTAGGTGCTAGTGCGTCTGCTTCATCCGGTACTGGTGAGTCTGCGCTCTCAGATACTGCGTCGGCTTCGGCCTCCCACACCTTCACACTTGACTCGGGGGCTTCTCGCTCCTTCTTTCGAGACCGCACCACACTCACGCCGCTTGGTCGGCCAGTTGCAGTCTCCCTGGCAGACCCCTCTGGGGGTCCTGTCCTTCCTCCCCTTCCTCCCCTCCCTCCCCTTCCTCCGGGCCCTGGCCCTACCTGCGTCCCCTGTGTCGAGGGGCGGCAGCGGGCTGCCCCTCACTCCTCCCAGTTTCCTTCGACAGAGGCCCCGCTGCAGACGCTTCACATGGACGTGTGGGGCCCAGCCCGCGTCCGTGGACAGGGTCACGAGTCCTACTTCTTGCTGGTGGTTGACGACTACTCGCGTTACACCACAGTCTTCCCCTTGCGCAGCAAGGGTGATGTCACTGAGGTGTTGATCGACTGGGTCCGCGCAGCTCGTCTCCAGCTCAGGCGGAGCTTCGGCTCGGACTTTCCTGTTCTGCGTTTGCACTCTAACAGAGGCGGAGAGTTCTCCTCTGGCCTTCTGCGAGCCTACTGTCGTGCACGAGGCATCCGCGAGACCTTCACGCTTCCGGACTCTCCACAGCAAAATGGGATTGCTGAGCACCGCATTGGCATGGTCATGGACGTCGCCCGTACGTCCATGATGCATGCGGCTGCCCCCCATTTTCTGTGGCCGTTTGCGGTTCCGGTACGCGGCGCATCAGATCAACCTTCAGCCCAGGGTCTCCATGCCGGAGACCTCCCCAGCTTTGCTGTGGACGGGGAAGGTTGGCGATGCGTCTGCGTTCCGTGTCTGGGGATCTCGGGCGTTTGTCCGCCACTTGTCTGCGGACAAGCTGTCCCCTCGTGCTGCTCCTTGCGTCTTCCTGGGTTTCCCCCCTGACGCGCCAGGGTGGCAGTTCTACCACCCCACCTCTCGCCGTGTTCTGTCCTCCCAGGACGTCACGTTCGACGAGTCGGTCCCCTACTACCGTCTCTTCCCCTACCGCACTCCGTCCCTCCCCCCGCCTCCGCTCTTCCTTGTGCCAGGTCCCCCCCCGGTAGACCCCCTCCCCCCTCAGGGTCCTGCCCCTTCAGGTGTGTCCCAGGTAGACGCTGTTGAGCCTGTCGAGGTCGCTGGTGACTCTGGTGCTAGTGAGAGTGCTGAGCCTGGGGGTGCTGACTCTGGGGGTGCTGAGCGTGTGGGTACTACGCCTGGGGGTGCTGAGCCTGAGGGTTCTATGCCTGGGGGTGCTGAACCTGGGGGTGCTGAGCTTGGGGGTGCTACGCATGGAGGTGCTGAGCTTGGGGGTGCGGAGCCTGAAGGAGCTGGGCCTGCTGGTGCTGTGCTTGGCGGTTCTCCGGGTGGTTCTTCTCGCCGGGAGCCACTCTCTCCATAGGAGCTGCGTGAGTGGTTTGCCCGGCGCTGGAGGCGAGCTGCTGGAGCTGGAGGTGCTGCGGGTACTGGAGGTTCTGTTGCTGCTGAGGGAGCTGGTGCCACGGGTCCCGGAGGTGCTCGTACTGGGAGTACTGGAGCTGCTGGACCTGCGGGTACTTCTGGAGCTGGAGCTGCTGCAGGTGTTGGCGCGGAGGCTACTACTGTCGGTCCTAGAGGCGGTCATGCTGGGGGTACTACTGGTGTTGCTGGAGGTACTGGAGCTGGAGCTGCTACTGGTGCTGGTGCTGCCACTGGGGGTGCTAGTGCTGTCCCTACTGTGTCTGGAGTCGCCGCGCGGCCTCGGCCGTACTTCGTTCCGCTCCTTCAGCAGGTTCTTGGTCTCCCGTCTTCTAGTGGTCCTCCTCCCTTAGAGTGTCCACAGCCTGTCCCGTCGTAGTTACAGTTACAGCCGGCCTCCCCACTGCCTGCTCCGTCTCCCTACACTGGTCCTACTGGCGGTCTTGCTGAGCGTCGTGAGCCTGCGTCTCGCCCTGCGTCGCCTGTCCATGCTGCTCGCACTAGTGGTCGCGGTTCGTGTCAGCGTCCTCCTCCTGTCCCTGGCACGCACCTGATGTCTCTGCGTCCGTCCACTGCTCCTCTGCGTGCCCCTTTGCCTTCTCCTTCCTGAGTCTTCTCTTCCTGCTCTTGCCGACCTGGAGTTGGACTCTCTTCGTACTGCCAGTCCTACTGTCACGCGTCTCCTTGCTACTGCTGTCACTGACCCTTCCTTTGAGTCCACTGCTGCGTCTGCCCTAGTTGCTGAGCTCTTCAACTTTGCTGCTCGCTGTCGCCTAGACTACGCCACCAGTCTTGTTGCTGAGTCTGAGTCTGTCTGTCCTCCGTCCGTCGGGGGTGAGTGTGCCCTTGGCACAGACGTCCTAGAGGACACGCAGGAGGAGTTCCAGTGCTTGGCCGCTGCTTCACCTCATCTCGTGTCCGTACTGCTTACCC